CGGGGCCCGATCCGCCCCCGCTGGGCCGATCGCCTCCCGACGTGCGGCTGCTCCTTTTCTTGCCTGGCGATTTTGGCCCCTTCCCCATTACCGATCAGGCACAAGTGGCAGCTTGCTTCTGTTTGCTGATACTAGCTGCTTAAACGGATGAAAGGAGGGCGGCTCTGGCTGGCTATGTGAATTGCTCCACACCGATACGTTGGCGCCAGAGGCTCAGCCCAAAAGGGATAGAATGTTAATCAGAATTTGAATGAAGAGGAAAGTTTTGTTCACGTACAGGCTCCTTCCCCCTGCCCCTGCCGCTGCTCCCATGGGCTGGGGATCGTGGCCAATGGGAAGAGCTGCGGGGGGTGATGTTTGCAAGCGCAGGGAGGCATGGAACCACCTGTTCCCCTGCCAAACAGGACCTGCACCAGGTAAGCACCCAGTCTCCTGCCCCTCCCACAACACCCTCCCTCCCAGATCCCATGCCCCCATCCTTAGCTCACTCCCACACCCTACCTGCCATCCAGACCTGGACCCCCACCCCCAGCCTACTAATGCACCCTACCTCCCACCCAGACCTGTACTCCGACCCCACTCCCTGACAGTCCCCTCCCACACACCAAACCCCTCTTTTTTGGATCCACCCGTAGGGGGACCCCACAAAATCTGCTATCTCTGGGCCCCCAGAAAAGTTAACCTGGCCCGGCCGCAGGTTAGTTGCAGTCGGCAAACTCAGCCAGTTCTGCTTGGAACAGTTTCCTCTGAAAAATGCCCTTCCTCCATCCCCATATTCGAGATGGCTGAACGCGCTGAGCCTGTCCGATTCTCAGTACAGTCCACACACTTGGATATATCGTGCTTGGGATGCAATACATTCCTATGCTGCCATTATGAACTAATGCCCCATTTTCTAGCTTTTGGTCTCAAAGCAGCATGGACTTTCTGTTTCTTGGAACCCGAAGCTACGTAGAGTAGATGTTAAAGCAACAGCCAAATTTTGATGCAAACTCACAAGAAATGTAGGATTAGGGCAGAAATGTATCCCCCCAGGGTGGTGAGGGGGAGAGTCGATATGGCCTTTTGTCAGCAGCTTTGCAAATAGACTCCTCACAAGGCTAAAACTGCAGTGGCAATATGTTCGTGTTGCACCAAATTCTTCCTGGAGCCCCCGAACAGTCGTATGTGGGATAAATTTACGGAGGTTTTCAAAGCTGGGCTGCGGGCCTGCCTGGGTGAGCCACTGGCGGGCCACGGGGCGCTTTGTTTATCTAAGTGTCCATAGAAAGGGAGCCTTGCATCTCCCAATGGCTCGCAGCTCCCAATGAGATCTTCAGCAGTTACACTATTTTTAACATCTCTGTTAGTATCCCCATCCTGTGGGAGGAAAGATGAGGCACAGGAGACAGCTGCTGCCCATGGTAAGCCAATCTTCATAGTGTATGCACAACCTGCGCGTGACCAGGATTCATCCCTGGATTTGCTCCGCTGGTCGGATCATTAGCTTCCCACACTTGGACTGCGTCCTGATGGGGAGCACCACATGAACATTGATCCATGCCGCCTGGTAAGCCAATGGCAGAATGAGAATACAGCTGAAGTCCCCTGTTTTAAAGCACAGTGCCCTATCCACTAGACTACACTGCCTCCCCTAACAGAACTGATCCAAGTACTCACTACCTTTCAGCTTGAACCCAGGACTGGGTCATAACTGGATTTTCTTTTGGGGGGGGCAGTGGAGGTTGGATGGTATTATTGCCTGGGGAGTCACATAGATAAAATATGCTGAATGACTTTGGAAGCAACCTGCTGTATAAAAGACCCTCCCCCAGCTCCAGAAGTTCTATGGAAGAAGCAGTTGGGAGCACTCCCAGCGACTCCGTGCAGGGGATAGTATGGAGCCAGAAAAGCATCGACACAGGAAATCTGGATGGGCGGGGGCCCCAGGGGTGGGACATGCAGCCGGAGGAGCCCAGAGGGGTTCTCAGTGAGGTGCAAAGGCTGAGTCCTGTGATGTTTTCTGGCTCTTCTGGCCGCCTGGCGGGGCCTCTCCGGACTCGCTCTGTTTGCTTTGGAGGAGGGCTTGTGAGCTTTCCACCAAGTGACTTTTCTTCCCTCTGTCTCTTCCCCCAGCCCTCCACGCCTGCTGACTGGCTACGGGGACCCGACCAGAGACCCTCTGGTCAGTCGCTGCCCAATCCCTGTTCTGCCTGGAAGTGCCCCTACCACCCTCCTCCCCCTCTCTGCCCCCCAGCCCAGCTCTGCCCCCGAGCCAACCCGGGCACCCCCCTCAGCTCCTTTCTCTCAGCTGTCCCTGCCTACACCCCGCTGCTCTTTGCCTTCCCAGCCCGATTCCTGCATTCTGACTCCCTGCAATCCCATGCCTGGCTCTACCCCCAGAGCTCGCCTCCCTCCTTCTCTTATCCTGCCTGGCTCCCCACTCTGCTCTCTCGGCCCCCCTGCCCTGTTGCGCCACAGGCCCAGGTGGGGGATCAAAGCAGCAGGGAGCTCCTACACCCCACCCTGGATTGCACTGCCGCTGCCACTGATCTGAGCTCGGGGTTTAAAGCGGCAGGGAGCTCCTGTCCCCCACCGCACGTTGTGCCTCCACCACTGATCTGAGCTTGGGATTTAAGGTGGCAGGGAGCTCCAGACCTCCCCCTGCTCTATAGATCTGAGCTGCAGGGTTCCCTGCTGCTGCCACAGTGCAACAGCAGCACTGTGGAAAAGGACTGGATCGGAGCTACCGCTGCCCTTACTTCCTCCAGGCCCCTGTGCAATTGCCCCCCATTGTCCCCACTGCCATCAGTGGGCCTGATGGAGCATTTTCACGTAACCAGATCTTATTGTTTTGCAATGGGGCCCTTGCTGGCCCTGGCCCACAAAACAGAAACAGCCCCAGCCACAGAGCACATGATGGAAACTGCCAGCCCTCATTCCTTCTGAAAACAGGATGCTGCAGAGGGCGAGACCAGGGCGCCTGCCCACATCCCATCTTCCAGGACAGGAACTTGTGTCTAGAGCAGGACTGCAAAGCGCCCCAACCCCCCACCTCCTTGGGATCTGTTGTTTGTTTCACGTTTCATTTCTAGTGGATCGCTTGCTGTGACCACTGCCTGTAGGTGACAGGATCAGGGGGTGGAGGGTGAGGAGGGAAGCATAACTCCAAGGACAGCTCTGCAACTAGGGCTGGGCAAGGTGCAAAGTGCAATGCTTCAGGCAGCAACACCTCATGCCTTGTGACACTTCGTGAGTAGCGTCAATTACTGCAATTCATAAGAAGTTGCTAAATTAAATAAGGGCTTAACTTCATGGAACCCGGGATTCCCCTGGAGAACAATGTTGCATGTGCCCAGGTAGCCAAACTCCGTCCTACAACTAGGTTTGGAAAAATTCCATTTTTATCATTAAATATCGACAAATGTCAATTGCACCATCTACCTGCAAACCTATGAACAAATATTTCTATCAATAATAATCGGAATGTACCGCTAGGCAGAGTGAGAAAAGTGCTTCTCGTTAACTTATTAGAGTTTGATTTAAGGATATTCATTTTGTATAGCATGGTATAATAGGGCTCGAAGGGACCTTGAGACGTCATCTTGCCCAGTCTCCTGCACTCACGGCAGGACTAGTATTGTCTATTCTAGACCATCCCTGGTAGGTGTTTGTCTAACCTGCTCTTAAAAAGACTCCAGTTGAGGCCTAATCAGTGCAGAGTAGAGTGGAAAAATTATTTCTTGTGCCTTGCTTACAACCAGTGCTTTTTTGTTAAAAAAAAAGGTGCCAGTACTCCAGGGGAAAAAGTTGTTGAGCTCTGATTGGAGGTGCCGGTACTGTGTCTGGAGGTGTCGGTACTGCGTACCAGCCAGTACCATTACAAAAAAAGCACTGCCTACAACACTCCTACTAATGCATCCCAGAATGAGAATTGCTTTCTTTGCCTCAGTGTTACACTGTTGACGCATATTTAGCTGGTGATTCCCTATGACTTTCTGCAGGAAGTCATTTCCCATTTTGTCACGTGTGTAACCGATTGTTCCTTCCAAAGCAGAGTATTTTGCATTTGTCCCTGAATTTCATCCTACAGTATTTACCTGCAAACTTTATAAGTCTACTCTCTAAGCCTTGGTCTGCACTAGCAGAACTTTTGTTGATTGGGGTGTGAAAAAAACCTTATCCACGTACATTTCCCCAACAAAAGCACTGGTGCATACAGCACAAAATCGACAGCAGAACATAACCCACCAACGTACTCCATGCCCATTGAGTGGCGGTAGATAATTATGCCAGTGAGAGAGATCTTGCCTGCTGGCATAGTGCGACCTTACAGCAGCACAGATGCAATGGTACAGCTGTACCCCTGTACAGCCCGTCGGTAGACATGGCCTTATTTTGGAAGTATATTCTAGCCTGATGAGAAGGCATGAGAAGAAGCAGGATGCTGCTGGACTGAATGGAAAAGGGGAGAGAGGCTATCCTCACTGGTGGATCTAAAATAATGGAAAAAGCGGTGACAAAACCCTGGAAATCACATTGTCATCATATGAGGTAAAGACGAGGATAAATTGGTGCCATGGGTGAAAGAAAATAAACATGGAAAGAAAAGCTATGGATTGCAAAACTCACAATGAAACCAGAGGAAGCGCTCCACCAGGAACCCCTGCCTGCGATAACTCAGCGCTGGCACCAATTACTGTCTGTCATGCGTTGCTCTAACTCCACACATGAGGAGCACAGTGGCTCCCCTCTGCACACGGTAACTGATGAGGTGGTAGGGACAAGAAGAGCCACAGAAGAACCGTGTTTCAAAGGCATCAATGAAACCGCGGGTGGCGAGCAGCCCAGGACCGGGATGGCCGGCAGGCAGTGAGGGCAGCAGCTCAGCTGTGGCTGCTCAGAGCGAGAGTAGGTGCAGGCAGGTCGCAGGGATGCAACCCGACGAGGCATTGTTAGGGCTCAGCCCCCGCGGAAGTCAGAGCCCCCCGAGCAGACGGGGGG